TAATATATATGCATCATATTTGTGTCCTTCGTAAGCAGTTACATATCTACCAGTGTGATATATGAGATTGCAAACTTAGATAATGACTTCTATTTTTGCCTCATTGCAGCACACTGTGAGTGTGATTTATATAGCCTAGAAATCCTTGGACAATGCATTCATTACAAGCGGTCTAGGTTGTGCATTACTAATAACCTCCCGGTTGCCAGCAGCAGAAGTTACTATCATCATATCCTCTGTTCACTGAATAATTTTTTTACTCTGCCGCACTTTCAACTGTGCTGGCTGAATAAAAAAAATCATATATTTTGATTAACGTATAAGGAAATGTCTCATTAATATATACACTTTTTGTTTGAACTGCATGGTACAGCTCAGTGTAAATCCAAGATAGGAGGTTGTCAATGAAGCTTGTCATCAAGACTAATTTTTGTAAAAGTTCTGGCTAGCTAATGTATGAATATCAATTATCTACTGTATATGTACAACTGGTCAGGTGTCAAAGCTGTTTTAGCTGTCAATTTAATCATGCCCCCTGCAAATCATTTTATTTCTGAAGCTTCCTAAAAAAATGAAATTTACTTGAGTGTTGGGTGGGATTATGTATGTTAAACCACACTCGACCTTTTCAATTACATGGGCAATTCTTGAGATCACTTAGCAGCGAAATGCTTCCCGATGTCTTTCCAGCATAAATTGCCCAACCCACTTTCTAATTCAGAGAATGACAAAAGTCACAAACAAGCCTATTTTGTTCCAGATTAGCATTTATGAACCCTCAGGAGAAAATATAACTTTTGTCATATAAATACCATTATTATTAAATGTATTGCTCCCACTAGTATACGTAGCTATTTTGTTTAAAAGTAGGATTTTTAAGTCCCTACTAAGAAAAATAAATAGTCTTTTACATGTACATCTGGATAAATTCATTTTCCATAGATATCCAGGCAACATGTCCTCAGTGAAATGGTTCCCCCTGTTATTCTTTACCATGTAGTTAAAGTAACAAGACAAAGCTGCCGGGCATTATGATTTTAATTTGTCTGCTTATATGTATCAGATTGCTTTTCATTGTGTCCTAATGAAGGGAGAGAGAGAGAGAGAGAGAGAGAGAGAGAGATTGGATAGAACAGTTTTCCACTTTTTATTGCCGACTGTTTCCTCAAAAGGGATATTTCTAGTAATTTCCTTTCCCAGTGACTGTTAGGCTCCATTCACACATGAGCGGTGTTCCACACGTATTCAGCCGCACAAATACTTGCGGAACCGCTCTACACATAAACAAGAATGCATTTTAATTGCTGTTGCGGGTTTTTGTACCGCGTGTCCCGCAAAATAGTCCAAGCATGATTTCAGGGGCGGATTCCGCACATTTGTGGCTATAGTAATAGCCTCAAACGAGTGGAATCTGTGCAGAGGATGTAAAGATTTTAGCATTTTCGTGCCGTGTGGTCTTCTGCACAGAAAACCGTGCACAAAACACACACGCTATATGCGAATGGAGCCTTATCACTGGGGCAGGGAGTAAAAAGAGTACAGTTGGCAATAAAATCCTAAGTGAGATCCTAACCCCTTCACCACACTATTGTTGTATTTATGCAGGAGAGAATCCTTCTAATATTTTGTCCTGATGACCATTGTCATGTGGACAGGTATTTACATTAAACTTCCATGGTGTGGACACTGACAGAAGTAAAAGCCTGAGATTCTACTTTTTTATTTCTTCTACATGAAAAACGAAAAAAAATGTGATTTATGTATATATATATATATATATATATTGTTCTAAAAAACGAAAGTGCCACCTGATGAGCTTGTGGAAGTGTTTCAAACAATGCAACAGCAACATAGAATGCAGTAACACATTGTAGATGGTTAGAAGGTGTTTTTAAACTATAAACCAGAACCATATATCTAAGAGTTGTTACGTTGCACTTTCTCATTGCTCTTTGCAGCACCTTATAGAATAAGCCTGTCTACCAACTTCATGGTCAGTACTCCTTCAGATGTGCTGACATAAAAAACATATGCCAAATTAATAGATAGATAAAAGAAAGCACACTATGGTTTACAATAAGGCTCAATTGTATATAATCTGAGCCTGAAATAAAGGATTTCTCTATTTCCATTAAAATGTTTGTCTGGACAGACCTCAGTAATACATGTACAGTTTCTCAGGTGTTGTCTCTTTAAGTGC